TGGGCGGGTGGAGCTTCTATCAGACGGCAAAATCGCACACACACACACACGCTCACACACACACACACCTGCAAAAGACACCATAAAGTTTTAATAGTTTCTCGTTATTTCGGGCTCTGTGGGAGATAAATCTGCTGAGAAGAGCTGATTCAGATCTACACGTTAAAGCGCTGCTCAGCTGAAAACGCTGCGAGAAAAGTCATTATCATGAAGCATTTCTTATGGTGGAGGAGATGTAACCCGAGTGCATCCTCACATCAAGGTACGACTTTTATCTAACATCTGGATTTTGCTCCCGGTCGACGTTAGAGCAACAGGAAATCTGGCTACTGGACAAACAGTCCAAATTACCCAAAGAGACACTTTTCATGTTTTCCTCGAGTCGAGGCAGAAGAATAAAAACAAATAAAGCTCGGAGTGCAAATCTTGTAGAGACCCAAAGCTGCAACTGCTGCCAAACACAGGATTTCTCCAAAGTCCTGAATTAACGGAGTGAAAACTTCTGCAAATATGAGATTTCAGCTTTCGGTTTTCTATAAACTTTCACCAGTCTGGGTTATTGAGTGAAGACGGACGGGCAAAAATGTCATTTTGTTCTGTTTAAAATGCAATATACAAAACAATGAAATGTGCAAAAAGTGACATTGTGGGAATATTTCCTGAAGCTACTGTTTGAGCTTTATATATCTGTGCTTTAGCTGTTGTACACATGTGTATAAGGACACTGATGGCTAATTGTTAATCAATTAACTGCCAAAAATACTTTAACAGCATGCTAATGAGGCAGAAGATAAGCCACATGTGGTTTAATCTCTGCACTCTGAACAGTTTTTGGGCATTTTATCTACAGAAAATAGCAACTAAAGCAACAATTTTGAAAAGCAGTTTAGTCATTTTACAACCAAAAAGTCTAAATTCTCTGATTACAGCTTCTTAAATACAAATATTATTTGGTTTCTTTCCTCCTCCCAAACCTGTTGAAACACTGCCTGCAGTTCAGCCTGAAAACCTGCTGAGTCAGTCACAGAGAATCAGTTGTGCAGAGAAGCACTGAATTCTTCGTTTTTTGATGGAATGTGATTACAAAAGGTGTATTTTTTGGCAATATTTAAACAAGACATGTAGAATAAAGTGATTTTGATAAAATATCACAACTTAAGGTTTTCTCATGAAATGCCACGTCTTAGGGGACGAGTTCAATTTGGTTTTTTGCTCTAAAAATATTGATGTCATTTTGCGGATTTTTTATAACGATATGATGCCTTTCAAACCCACCGGTGGGTTGTGGGGTTGAAAGGGTTAAAAAGTAAATCTATTGGAAACATAACTGAGGGCTTCCAGTGACTCAGTGGTTAGCATCGTCACCTCACAGCAAGAAGATCCCCGGTTCCTGGGAATGCATGTTCTCCCCGTGCAGCGTGGGTTCTCTCCGGGTTCTCCAGCTTCCTCCCACACAGTCCAAAAACATGTTGAGGTTAATTGGTGACTCTAAATTGTCTGTAGGTGTGACTGTGAGTGTGCTTGGTTGTCTGTCTCTAAGTGTAGCCCTGTGATAGACTGGTGACCTGTCCAGGGTGTCCCCTGCCTTCACCCTGAGTCAGCTGGGATAGACTCCAGCCCCCCATGACCCTAATGAGGATTAAGTGGTGTATAGATGATGGATGGATGGATGGACATTGAGTTTACCTTATTTTTTAAATTCCTGACATAGCAGAATCGACGTGGTGAAAGTTAAATGTTAAAAACAGTTTTGTAGATATAATGTATTTCATTCGTTTCAACCACTATTCCATCATTAATTATTAACTTGGCCGACTGTCGGTTAAATAAATTGCAGTGGAGCAGCTTTTGTATTGTGACAAATCTGCAGAAACGATGCTGTAACTCAACCAAGTCTTCTAAAATAAATGAACTCCTACATGTTGCTGGTGCAGCATCAACACTGGCTGGATTGCAGACATTAATAATGTTGGCAGGAGGAGGTCGGGGTGGATGGTGGGCGCACAAAGCTCTCCTTGTATTGTGCTTCATCTCCCTGCAGATTTCATTCCTGCTCCTCCTGTTGTAATCAGGGTTGTAATAGAAACCTGTTGCTGTTTGTGTGCAGCTGAAGACTCCTCAGTGTTGCTCAGGCAGCTGTGAAACTCGGTGATTATGTCGAACAGCTCTGCTCCTCTTTGTGTGCACATGAATGCAGGTTTTGCTTTCAGATCACAGAGCGTGACGGCTGTTGTTAAACAGCCTCCGAGTGTCTTGTTATTGCAGTAAAGCTGCAGCTCGGCGCTGAATTTGTCTTCCAGACGCTGCCCTTCACGCTGCAGCTGCTTTTATTCTGTCACGTCGGTCGGCCAAATAAGCGACAAATACACCGGAGCTGACTGCTGAGTAATTAAATTCTGTTTTATATACGAGGGACCAGCGGCAGGCGGACCGTGTTTTCTGATGTGTCAGAAGGAGCTTCGTGGTGTTTTTCCTCGTTTTGGCTCATAAACTGATGAGAACTACCAGCCTGGTTAGCTGCTCTGTGTTGACGGGTGAAAGCTGAATTTATACGTCGTGAACATGGTTCTCCAACTTTTTAAACTACATTCACAGGAAATGCAATAATCAAGGTTTTCTCACACTAAACCCTGATTACAAAGCTGTGCAGCCAGTAGCTTTGGCTGGATCACTGGATATTACTTCATCTGGTTGCTCAGCTTCAAACATCTTTGAGTTACAATTTCAATCAATGTTTTCCATCATTTTCTCTGGATTGACATGTTCTCTGAGGGAATCACTGCACGGTTTCAAGGTTTTTAATTATGAAGTGTCCAGGTGAAGCGGTCAGACAATCTGTCAGAGAATCTCTGGTGTTTTACTTTCATAAGGAGAAGAGCTCCACAGCAGTCTTCCAGGATGAATCCATTATTTCTGACAGCAGGAGGAACAAACTACCAGTCAACACCCCTGTGTGTTTACAGCTTTAAACTGGTCTAACCTGGTGGAGACTGTTGAGTTTAACTTATTTACCGTAATGTCTGGACTATAAGCCGCTACTGTTTTCACACGCTTTGAACACTGTAGCTTAAACAATGATGCGGCTAATTTATGGGTTTTTACAATTTTTACGAATTTGCCTCGAGACCAAAGTGACATTGAGAGCGACAACGAAAGAGAGACTGAGGAAGTGTGTGACGAAGTAATTCTGAGGCTGTTCAACTCCGACACTGAAGAAGACGACTTTAGTGGTTGTAGTTCGCAGGAGGAAGATCAGGATAGCGATCCGTGACTTTTCCTGGTATTTTTTCCTGTATTTTTTATTTTTTTAACCAGCCGCATTACAGGCACTGTTCAGAAAAGAGCATCTACGGTACGTATTTATGTATGTTACCGGTTCGTTTTTAATTAAAAGTTTAAAAAATCTTTCTGTGTAAATACCTCATGTTTCAACCAGGACACCTGCAGCTCATCGACAAGTGCTGCCTACATATGCACAAAATTTCTTTGTAAAGTTAGTGGGTGCAGCTTATATTCAGGTGCGCTTAATATTTCAAAAATTACAGTAATGAACATTTACTCAGAGTCAACGACAAACTAACTGATGTCAAAGAAAATAAATAAATAAATCACTTATTGGCATACGTGATTCTCCACGACTGACTCAGCTCCAGCAAACAGGTAGTTGTAGGTTGATCTGCAGGCAGTGTTCCCACAGAGCACAGAGAAAAATCAAACCTACTCAGTAAAATCATAGAAACAGTGACCAGAGGAGCAAGTTGTTGAAGATACATTCAGCATGGTGAAACATCTTTCTA